GGGAATCACGGCTTTGAGAGTCAAAAAACATACACAAACAAAACCAAATTAAACCCTGCGGCTCGTGACGATACATTGATGTGTAAAGACACGAAACGATCGGTCTGTGCAAGAAAATGAACAGTATTTATATCGTTTTTTTACCTCAATGTCCGAACTGTCCTGAGCGCGTTCTCAACAGCCGGCGCGTGACGCGAGTGCTGTATCCAAGTATGTTAACAGAAAGTTGAGTGGAAGGAAAAGGTGTGGAAGAAAAAGATGCACAACCAACTGAGAGAACCGCAGCCTTATGAGGATTGTCAAGCAAAATCGATTCAAGAATTTGAGTGAACTTCACAAGGAATGGACTGAGGCTGGGGTCAAGGCATCAAGAGCCACCACACACAGACGTGTCAAGGAATTTGGCTACAGTTGTCGTATTCCTCTTGTTAAGCTACTCCTGAACCACAGACAACGTCAGAGGCGTCTTACCTGGGCTAAGGAGAAGAAGAACTGGACTGTTGCCCAGTGGTCCAAAGTCCTTTTTTCAGATGAGAGCAAGTTTTGTATTTCATTTGGAAACCAAGGTCCTAGAGTCTGGAGGAAGGGTGGAGAAGCTCATAGCCCAAGTTGCTTGAAGTCCAGTGTTAAGTTTCCACAGTCTGTGATGATTTGGGGTGCAATGTCATCTGCTGGTGTTGGTCCATTGTGTTTTTTGAAAACCAACGTCACTGCACCCGTTTACCAAGACATTTTGGAGCACTTCATGCTTCCTTCTGTTGACCAGCTTTTTGAAGATGCTGATTTCATTTTCCAGCAGGATTTGGCACCTGCCCACACTGCCAAAAGCATCAAAAGTTGGTTAAATGACCATGGTGTTGGTGTGCTTGACTGGCCAGCAAACTCACCAGACCTGAACCCCATAGAGAATCTATGGGGTATTGTCAAGAGGAAAATGAGAAACAAGAGACCAAAAAATGCAGATGAGCTGAAGGCCGCTGTCAAAGAAACCTGGGCTTCCATACCACCTCAGCAGTGCCACAAACTGATTACCTCGATGCCACGCCGAATTGAGGCAGTAATTAAAGCAGAAGGAGACCCTACCAAGTTATTGAGTACATGTACAGTAAATGAACATACTTTCCAGAAGGCCAACAATTCACTAAAAATGTTTTTTTTATTGGTCTTATGGAGTATTCTAATTTGTTGAGATAGTGAGTTGGTGGGTTTTTGTTAAATGTGAGCCAAAATCATCACAATTAAAAGAACCAAAGACTTAAACTACTTTAGTCTGTGTGCATTGAATTTATTTAATACACAAGTTGTATTACACAATTCACAATTTGAGTTGAATTACTGAAATAAATGAACTTTTCCACTACATTCTAATTTATTGAGATGCACCTGTATGTTCATAAAAAACAAATCCATCACAATGCATTTTAACATTACAATTTTGCTTCTGGTCAAAAACCACAATCATGCTTCCTCCAGCGAAAAAGTCCATCTTCTGTTGTCCTCTCACATCATCATATTTTTTTAGAAACTTTTTGGAATATTTTTGCTTCTAAAAGGAGTTTGACCTTTTCATATTTCTCTCCTGTTTCAGACAAGATGACTTTTTCACTGGAGAAAGCAATATTATGGATAGATAACTCATAGTTTAGCAGGAAGCAAATGTTGTAATTATGGATTTGTTTATTTAAATGCAACTTTTTGCCTCACAAGATATTGTGGATTATTGTGATGTTTTTTTTTATCAGATATCCAGACTCTCATTCTGACGGCACCCATTCACTGCAAAGGATCCATTGATGAGCAAGTGATGTAATGCTACATTTCTCCAAATCTGTTCTGATGAAGAAAACACTCACTTAGATCTTAAATAGCTCGTGGGTGAGTACAATTTCAGCAACTTTTTCTATTTTTGGGTGAACTATTGCTTTAAGATTCCAGCAATAACATTTTAAAAATGTTTATGTCATTATTTTTAAGCATATTCAAACATAAAGTTTCTTTACAGAGAATTAATAAACTGAAGGAATGGATGCAGCTCTGCTTACTATAGTTATTTTACATTTGCCTGTACTCAAGACACTAAATATTCTGCTAGTATAAAAAAAACATTGCCTTGCTCTCTCCTTAATTTTCCATCCATTGTAAAATCAGCAGAAATAAGAGTGAATCTTATACTTACTCCTGAAAAACAGTTAGCTCAATTCATTTTTGTGTTTCAGGTGATTAAAAAAGAATGCAGACCTGTGCACAATAGCCACATATTGCATTTTGACATCATAATGAAAAGTAGAAGCTCGATTGTTTATTCAGTTAGCTTTAATGTTAGAAAATTCTTTTTAACGGCTTGTGTGCTTGTTTGATATTTCCTTTAGGTTTCTAAATTTAATCCCACCTAGTGAATAACTCATCATCATTGTTCTCTATTTAAAACAGCAGGAGAGCTGTCCATGGTTCTGAAACTCTTCACTTCCACAGTTCAGTCTTATATGAACATCATCTCATTACATCCCTTATCATACATTACATTAACATACATTTAATCTACCCTGTTGTTTTCGAAAATGTACACACCTCATGAAAAACTCCCACTCACTGTCTTTGCATGAATATTTGCCCTGTGGTGTTCAATCAAAACATGAACACACAGATCAATAGACCAGACCCTGTCCAGATGCACCGTCAACTGCTTGCCAAGCACTTACACTGACCGGCCTTATTTATAAGGCTATGCTGAGCAATATATTCAGTATTACACCTTTAATTGGGATCCTCCAGGGACCTTGTCAAAGTTTTCGAGAAAAGCTGGGATTTAACACACACGCCAAACTTAAGTTCAGTGACCAATTACCGCCCTTCTCTTCAGAGGGGTTGCTGTATTACATCTCCTACTGTTGTATTATGAATGTAGTGCGGTGATCCCACTCCCTTGGTTGTTTGTTAATACTCAACTATGGAGAACAGGTCTCATTAGTCTGTGTCAGAATATACTGCTGCAGGTCATTAGAGGCTGCTTTAAACATCAAGGCTGCAGCAGTGCCTTATCTTACTAATGAACATCAACTGGTATAGTTTAAATGCATACCAGCAACCATTTAAATGCGCTTAAGTGATTAACCTATCAAGCTCTGAGGAACACCATGGGGGTTCTTTGATGGAGTGTAAGCAAACACCTCCTGGCTAATGTGTTGCATTTGTACGCTACAATCCCAGAATCTGATGAAATTGTTTATTGAAGACCTGTATTACACAGGATAAAAGATTAAAATGTTAATTAAATCATATAACTCTCTCTGGGCATATCCCAGAAATTGCTAGAGTTAAAGCTGAGGAGATAATTATCTCAAAGCAGAACCAGTTCACAGTTGCATTCTTTGTCAGAAAAAAATGTGTTTTTAACAGCATAGAAGCAACAATGTCAGAAAGAGTTCAGTTGGAATGAAAGAAGCTAAACAAGCACACAATGCCTTATTCAAGAGAAGTGAAGGTCTATGTGCGTCAGTGAGTGAGTGAAATGACTAGTATAGAAGGAGAAGACATGCAATGGTGAACTGTTAACCAAAACAGATGGGAAATAACATAAACCTCATATACTCATTTACATATGCAAAGAGGATCTTTGTCATCCTGAAAATGTTTTTCTTTGACATCATCATAGATGATCACCATTTATGATGGTTTTAAAAGCTGATTGCATGGTCAATTATTGCAGATATACAACAATACTTTACAGTTTTAAGTACTGTTTTAGGCCAAGTGGGACACTTTTTTTCAAAACTGTTTAACTGATCAAGGTGGTTAGGACTGGTATAAACCAGCCACTATGTTCCAAAAAACAGTTTAAGCTAACATAATTTTCATGCTGACACATATACTGATTTCTTTGTCACTTTTTATAGAAGAAATTGCTTTAAATGTGATATTGTATTATTTAAGCTGCACACTCATTTCCTGTAATTCTACAATTACTATCTCACTTTCGCTAAAAAAAAAGAAGAAGCTTTTATCAGTGCTTAATTGCAAATGTACAAAAAAACCTCTCCACTTTGCATAGTTCATCCTGTTTATTTTGTGTTAAGTTATTTGAATGGTCCATATACTGTTATTTAAGGTATTATTTTATGGCAAATATTGTTTTGTGATGTTTGCATTCATTTTTTGTAATGATTTTTCAGTGTTCCTAGTTCAAACAGTAGAGCAATATCAAGCTCCTGGGTATGATTTCCAGTGAATCCATGAACTCAAGTCGCTTTGACATCTGGCAAATGGTATTAATATTTACTGCTCTTATTGACTTGATGATTTGAAGAAGTGTGAGGATGTCTTGTGTATGTGTACAGCACCATAGAGTCCAAGACAAATTTCCCTTCAGCAACAATAAAACAATACAAATTTCAATTCACACGGGTTTTGTAATATTACATTCATAATGACTGTGCAAACAGAAATAATGGGCTATTCATCCTGTTGGAATATACATACTATGGATAGATTTTTAATGACAAATGAAAGCAGCCATTATTTTCAGACTGGAGCTACTTCAAAAATGTTTAATAAAGGAAGGTATTACAACACATTCTCTCTCTCTCTCTCTCTCTCTCTCTCTATTTGTCTGTCACTACACACCATATAAAAAGACCTTCACGAAACAAAAACAGATTCATTAAACTTTCACTAGACACACAAAAAGAAACATCCATTTCCAGTCACAGACACAATGAACAGACAACTATTCGTTTGCTTTCATGTTTATTTAGGTCCCTGCCAGAGGAAATCTGCGTCTTACCTGCCAACTGCTTGAACAAAATTGCTTATTATACTTCAACGTCATCGCGCATCAGTCATATTATTTATTTCACTGTTCATCTCCACGAGCCTCATAAAAGACTGTGAGGAGGAAGGCTGGAGAACAGTGATATGTGAATGGCAGATGGACGTGTGAAGTGTGTGCAGCAGTAGCTACACTGTAGACGACTCCACAACAATTTGGCTGTGGCTGTGCCGACATGACAACTTTTGATTTTTCCGACGTGGAGGCATTTTTGGATTGCCATCCGGAGCTTTTCGAGGAATATCTCGTCAGGAAGGGAAAATGTGACACCCTGCGCAGGTGGCTCAAAGAGCATCAGCCGTCCAAAACCTCTCCTGCGGAGGAAAAACGCGGGGTCGTAAGGGATCCCTTCTGGCCCACGAACCCCGACGGACTGAGGCGCAGATCGTCCCACATGGAGCTCCGCAGGAACTTCGCCCGCTCCAAAGCGATGACTGCGCACCGGACCTACGACGAGCACGTCAGTCTCACGGCTCACGAGTCCCAGTCGAGTATGCGACGGCGCGCGCTGCTGCGGAAAGCCAGTTCGTTACCGCCGACTACGGCGCACATCTTGAGTGCGCTGCTCGAGTCCCGGGTGAACGTGCCTCAGTATGCCTCCAGCGCCATTGACTACAAATACAGACTCAAAGAGTCCAACGAGAGGGAGTTCTTCCTCGAGCTGGTTAAGGACATTTCAAACGAACTTGACATGACGAACCTCAGCTACAAGATTCTTATCAATGTGTGCATCATGGTGAACGCAGACAGGTGTTCGCTTTTCCTAGTGGAGGGACCGTCTCATAAGAGGACGCTGGTGTCCAAGTTTTTTGATGTGCACTCGGGTACGACGGTGCGACCCTCTTCTAGCACTCTGGACTCAAACGAGGTGCAGGTTCCGTGGGGAAAAGGCATCATAGGTTATGTAGCAGAACACGGAGAAACCGTCAACATCCCGAACGCATACGAGGTAGAACTGCAACTAATAATACTGACAATTACGCAGTCATTGGTTGCGAATTATTATAAGGGGTTTGATGGTTTAACCCAAAGGACGTCGAAGCAAAAGGTTGAGAGTTTTTTTTTTAAAGCATGTCCTTTTCAACTGGGGTTTTAAACTTTATGAAATTATACAAGTTAGTGGTGCGTATTTTTACCTGTTGCCAAATAGACACGAAATAACTTCGCTTTCGCCAGAGGTAACCAAACCAACAGTTGTGCGGTCAGTTTCGATCGGTACGCAAAAAAAGCTGGACTAAAACTGTCATTTTGTACGACTATTATGAATTTACATCACAAATCACAAAAACCTAAGTGCATTTTATTTTTCATTTGCACAATTGACGTTTGGCTAACTCTAGTTATAATTCACGCCGAGCAAGACAAAAACTGACAGCTTGCGCCAGGGGACTTATGCAGTGTACAATACATAAAAAATAAAGTTAATGGGGAGCCCGGGGCTAGTTGTCACAATTTTTACTCCAGTGAATATTTCTCAGGTATAGATTTATTTTAGCAAATAATGAAATAATGTAGGCATATACAGTAGGTCTTGGCTACAAAACAACAACAACAACAAAAAAAACAATAACAACTATGCAGATAAGAAACAATTCAATCAACGTTGACCTGCCAGTAGGGGAGCATGTTGTCACACTATATTGGTGCAAGTTGTCACAATGGAATCTGCCATTAAACAGCCTATTATAGACTTTTAGCTACATTTAAAGAGTAAAATAATTATGAAACAAAACTATTCATGAAACAGTAACATTTTAAGAGTTGGCGCAAAAAATCTAAAATCACTGTTTTGGCCAACACATAACATTTAGAAGACACATAAAAGCTTGCCCCAAGATCAGTATTTCAAATAAAATCTACCTTCATTATATTCAGTAGCTTAGCTTGCTCTCTTGTTTACCCAACAGCTATGGCAAAAATATGAACCTTGAGTATGGAGGATAAATAGATGTGCCTTTAAAGATTTGTGATTTCTACCGTTTCTGCAGCCAAGGCTTTGAGTCGCTGTCTGATTATTTTGATTATGTCAAAAGTTTCAAGAACTTAGCATTCCCCATGTGAAGATATCTCGATTACAGTGTTGGCTGTTTCCCCATCTTCAAATACACACTACCAGTCATGCGTACACATTATATCATGGCCACAGGCAAGCCTTCCCTAGTACACTGTGGTCAGAAGAGATCCATTGATGCAGTGCAATGAATTTGCCACTATCATATCACTCAGTTGGAATTTTATGCTTTTGGTGGCAATGAATGCAGTTTGTCCCCAAATCCCCCAAAAAGTGATGTAATATGCTGCAAGATTAATCTGAAATACAGCAACTACAAATACATTTTCATGTAGTTTTTCCCATTCCCCATTGTAAAGTTACAATTACAATTTTTAAGGTGTCCTTGATACAGTGTAATTACGTATTGAGTAATATTAAATAACAACGTGTACTTAATATAGGTTTGAAATTAGATTTGGTTTAGGGTTAGCGGCATGTATTTAGGCAAAATTTACTGTGATTACAGGTAACGTGTAACAAGGGCACTGAAAAATAAAGTGTTACCACGCTTTTTTCCCCCCAAATCATCCTGAGTTAGATTTGAATGAGGTAAAGTACATAAGTGGATTTGGGATTGATGCGCAAAAAAAAGAAAAATGTTAAATCTTTCAAAAGTAGTCTTTTTATAATAACATAAATCAAAAATAAATCAAAACATCCCAATTATCAACAGATTTTCTTTTACAATTATTATCTACTGTATTACATCATCTAATTATTATCTCTAACAATTATTTTCTATAACAATACAGTAACTTGTCATAATGAATGCATGTTAATTTTTGCATCTAGCCACAATGTTGTGCCTCCTTTGTACTGTGTAGGACCATCGGTTCAGTGATGAAATCGACAAGCTGACGGGCTATAAGACTCAGTCCATTCTGTGCATGGCCATCCGCAACAGTGATGGTGAAGTCATCGGTGTAGTGCAGGCCATCAACAAGAACCCCAGCGGAACTCCATTCACCGAGGACGATGAGAAGGTACATAAGCTTTGTTCTCCTTTTCTCTTGGCTTCATGCTGATATTATATTCTAAAGCATCTGCTCCAGCTAGTGGATTTATAGCCTGTTACATTCTCCAGATGCCTATAACTATATTGCCCAAACTTTAACTGGTAATGAAACTCTAGAGTGTGAATGTAATTGCTGTGCTAAATCAAAAGAGATTGATGAATTAGCACCTTGGCGAATATCCTGCTATGCTGGAGTACAAGTAGTTCTAGAAAATGAGTTATTCATATTTGAAGATTCCTTTTATAACAGGAGCATAACCAGTTGAAGCCCTGTGGTCATTTTACACCTTTATTGAGTTACTGCATATATCAAATCTAGAACTGATATTTGGAAAATTCCAACTGGAAGAGAGAATCCCTATGCCCTACTCACTCCAAAGGGCAGAACCTTTGAAGTGGCGACTTTGGAGGGAGCATGAAGCAGTTTGAAGTGCACTTGGTGTGGGGAGCATTGAAAAACAATGTCATTTAGACATTATCTTCACCTGGAATGGTACTGTAAAAAGAGGTAACCAGCAATTGTTACGTTAAAGAGCTATATCTACATGATCTTACCCTTAAATTTAGTTCTGTCATGACAACTCTCAGATGGATTGGCATGGTAATGTACATGACAATGTTAATGTATTTGGAATAGATCTGCTACGCTGCTGATGCTGCTGCTGCTGCTGCTGCGGCAGAGCATGTACCGAGACTTGCTACTGACAATACATCCACAACATGCTGCTGTGAGCATGTAAGAAATATTGCTGCTGCAAATATAACATACATGAAATAACCCCCATATAGCATACATGAATCACCTCATAGCAGATCTATACAGGTGGAGATGGGGAAGGTGGAGGGTTTCTGAAGCAAGCTGCAACTGCTACGGCAAGCACTAGTCATATATTTGAATGTTGAGCAGCGAGCTCATTGGCTACCGATACAGGAGAGAACCAATCAGCTGTGCCATGTGATAATGATGTCATTAGGTCAGATTGAGTTAGACCTATCGAACAGCGCCATCTAGAGTTTCATGCCAGAACTCTGTATTTTTGTTGGTGAAACCTACTTTGTTTAGGTTGATTCAGTAATGTTAAATAACATTTTTTATTTAAATAAAATCAATTAATTTAGATGTTTCCACATGAAGCACATTTTTTTTAGGTTACTATTTTTTCCCATTGCAATGTGATACGGCGTCCTTCATCCCATTAGCTGTTCTTACCCTGAAAAAAAATGGTAACCTAAAAACAGAAATATCTAAATTAAAGGGGTCCTATTATGCTCTTTTGCAAAGTCTTGATTTTGTTTTGGGGGTGTACTAGAACATGCTCTCATGCTTGGTGGTTCGAAAAACGCATTATTTTTCACATAATTTACATTATTAAAAT